GGTTACGACAGCCATGCTGCTCGGACAGATGCTCCAACCACCAGTTCATGAGAACCACGTAAAAGCGGAGAGAAATGCCGTCTATTGCAGGAAAATGTAAATGTTATAGTAATTAACTTTGCCACCAAGTGCCAGATTAAATTTTGTTACGACCAGCCATTGCTTTTTATCATCATGCAAGTGGCGAAGGTTCTGCAGATACTGCAGTATATAACTCCTCTGAAAACCACTTAAATTCCATCACTCTAGCATTTTCATAGGTTAATTGTCATAGTAAGATTTCGATCCTGCAGTGTGTGGACGCCCCTGGATTAAAACACGCTTAAAAGTCATGCGAATCAATACAATATGTCATATATAATACAAGAATCTAGTCGGTAGAATATATTATGAATAACTTGAACAAATTATTATATACATATACAACACCATAACCTCATAAATTATAAGCACTTGCATGATAGTTTTCCGGGAGTTAATAGCCTATCAAGACCACGTACAACAATCAAACTGTAACGGTAATTCACGATGTGCGAAGTAGACCGCAGTGGAGGAAACGCGACCTCGTGGGGGGAAATTTAGACCAATGCGGACAACGGCATTCGGGGCCTGCGTTCGGAAGACACGTAACTATATAGCTAACTAGGTTACAGTTGAACTCATCATATTTCTTCAACTATTAATTAATTATACGTAATATTCAACCATTATCAATACTAGCTAGGTCATGGTTGAACTAGTAATATTAGTTAACCATTACCTACAGATTATTAGTGGCAAGTGAAGCTTAAGCGCACGATTACTTTAAGGCCGTTTTAAAAAATTATTTTGGACTGCGAGAGCATTAGAGCGAATTTTTACTGTAGAATTTTTTTGTTGGCCTACATAATAATTTTTAATCATTAGCTAATAGTGTTAGCATAAGTGGGTTCTAGTTGATCCATCCTCAAGCATTTTATTATACCTGCCAGGTTCAATTTATAGAGAACTCAGCTATAAAAGTATAGTTTATATTCAAAACCATTAAAAAGTTCCATTTTGTACTAATCAGTTTCATTTATAAATCTTAGGTTAAGGTAATTTAATAACGAGTTTGATAAGTAACACAGATAGTAATGCAATGAATTATTAATTCATTGAATTCAATTATCAGACGAACGCTGCAAAGAATTCGGAATTTTCGTCTCGGATAGAAATGGAAAATAATAAATATTATTTGGCATACCTACGCTTTAGTTCATACGCTGACCGAATATTTATCTAGGATGTAATCAAAGGGATTAATTCTATTTTAAAACTTTGAAAACATTCCTGCTAAAAAAAGGCATTAGTCTTCCGACCTAAAGTGACTTTTATACGACATGGAAACACTTATGTTTACCGATCGTAAGGTTTTAGAAAACGTAAACTGCGCCACACATAGGAAAATACCAGGGTTGATTCATTATGCATGCGACCTCTACACGCGTCTGTTTATCAGCTCACTGTGAGTGAGTTGAATCTTGTGACCTTTTACGGCATTTCAAGTAATGGCTCAACTTCCAGCCTCCAATCTTCATTGCGATAGCTCAGGCAGAAGCCTGCGAATTTACTTTAATCGACTGATTTTCTGTAGAATATTAGGAGTTTGTCGTGTTTTGCAGAAACAATTTTTGAAATTCAAATCGATACTTCATACTTCACGATGGCAGTGACGCGACTGCAGTCGAGAATTTTCGTTTATATAATCATACCTATTAAATGGAGTTTTACAGTAATAATTGCTATTTGGATTAAATAACAATCAAACGCTTTTTCAGCATTAAAATTTCACAAAGATTTTAATCGCAAAACCAATTCTGATTACGATGCTGATTGTGAGATCTTATGTCCCCGTATAAAATTAGTTAATCGCTGGGGAATAATTGCCGTCAAAGCTCGCCCAGTGCCCGGCGGGTTGCCCCCGACAGCTGCACGAGTCTCCGCTGAATTGCTTCCTTCCGTGCGACCAACGCCCAGCCATCCTGCAACATCCGCTGCAATGCGTAGTTTTCCTTCATATTCGCACGACACAAAACTTTCCACGGGGCAAAAACTTACGCAAAAAGGCGCCTCCCGCTCATGTTGCGTCCACACTGATTGATAACTCATATTCCACAATGGCCGGAATAGTGATATCAAACAGCAGGCATAGTGATAGCGTATAGGAATGGTAGACATGGTGATAGTGCGCACAAATGGTAGACATGGTGATAGTGCGCGAAATGGCAGACATGGTGATATTGAGCGCAAATGGCAGACATGGTGATAGTGAGCGCAAATGGCAGACATGGTGATAGTGCGCGTAAATGGCAGACATAGTGATAGTGCACGCAAATGGCAGACATAGTGATAGTGCAGTGATAGTGCGCGTAAATGGCAGACATAGTGATAGTGCACGCAAATGGCAGACATGATGATAGTGCGCGCAAATGGCAGACATGATGATAGTGCACGCAATTTTTTACTTCATTACCACTTATTTACTTCATGCTTACATTCCCGTCGCGCAAAGCTTTCAGTGTGTCCATACGCAGTTATATTCCTGCTTCAGTGAGCATCTTGATTCAAGTCAAGTTAATTATAAATGGCAACAAATTGTATATTGTAACTCATAGTTCATTGGAATTATTAATGAATCTATAGATGTGTAAATGGTCTTGAGAAAGTTCGAAATAATTGACGCATTCTATAAAATCATGAAAACGTCCAGATTTTGAATATTTTTGCTAGGATGCAAGTCAAATATTCATTAGCCTACACTCATATGACAGGCATGGGAATGCTGAATGCGTACGGTACCGTCAATGCCACTTGAGTCGCCAGAGTACTTGTGTCGCCGGCCTTCAATAGAAAACGATCTATTTTATAAACAAATATTTAGCTTAACTAATATTTTTATTTAACTACAACTTTAAAGCGAGATCGAAAAAGCTTCATAGTTAATCAGTGATAATTGGGCCCTACAAATCATAGTTCTGATTCGACCAGCATTGTACGGTTTTTATTGAGTGGCGACGAGAAGTTTAATTATTTATGATCACGTCATTGCCCATTCCAGCATTAATAAATTTGTTTATCTTGATTTCGTACAGCCAGAAAGTCGCGAAGAAGACATTACGATTTAGTTTGTTTATAAACACTCTTTTGTTAATGAATTTATGCGAAGGGAAAAATATATAACTGGAGGGAAAGTGAGAAAAAACACAATTGAACCGCAAAAAAAGGTTCTTAGAGGCACTGAAGCGGAGAAGACCTCCCAGCAAGAACGAGAATGAAGTGAAAACAGCTACTTGTTCTAATATGACTGCTCTTAAAATAACAGTGTATAAATATACAGTGTATAAACATGTAAAGTAACAGCGGAACACGAATAAAAGTAACAGCTGATCACATTTTTCCTCGTGCGTTGAAAGCGCGCTTGAAATAACTAAAAAGGCAATATAAATAAAAATGTGTTTAAAAACCTCACGCAATTTGATCATAAAATACATAAATTGTCCCAGGAATGTAATTTTCGCCCACGGGCGGTAAAGAAATTGTGAAGAATTTGTGGTAATTAATCTTCGAGATCCTGGGGAAGCATTTCGAGGAGATTAGTTTGGACGGCAGCTCGTAAGTCTGAATAATGGCGAGGTGGTAAAGGGGATAATTGAGGTAAAGAGAGACTCATTTAGGGGTCTGCGAGGTCAAGGGTCAAGCAAACTACCAACTTGCAGCCCGCACTGAAACACCAACGGCGGCGGAGGTCTTGTTGCTTTCCTAGTTTAACGATAAATTTTATTATTCAGTCAATAAATGTTTCTAGTTGACAAAATGTGATTTTTTATTCAAAGCAAATACGTGTTGGACAATAGTCAATAACTGGTTTGACTTCTAAGACAAATTTAGACAAACAAACTTCAAATTGAGCAATCACCAATAATGGAAACTGCTTTGTGTTTAATAGCATATTATTTGAGAATATATGATAATACGATTTCAGAGAAAACATGATTTTATTACAGCAGGCAAAATATGATATTATATCAAGGAGTCTCATTGATAGAATTAATTTAGCTGAGGTAGATCTCAGCACGCGCTCAGGAAGCCAATCTTGGAGCACTCTTACTGCACGACGCCGGTGAGAGGGAGAGTTGGTGGAGAGGTGGGGCAGGTGGAGAGGGAGAGTTGGTGGAGAGGTGGGGCAGGTGGAGAGGAAGATGAGAGCGTCAATAGTCTATTCACTTCAGACTATTTAACATCAATGGTTTACATTGAAGTGTTTCTCGACTATTTAAAGTCAAGGAACCAAAAAACCGAGCTTGCTAGCCTCTATTGGTCTCCGCATCATTAATTTGTCTTATCAAGCAAGCGCGTTCCATTCATTTAACTATATTTTACAGCCAAGTTATCGCCAGATTTGCGACGAATTATCGATTCATTGCGATAACATCAAACACAGTTAATGAGAAAAAAATTTGAACAAATGGATGACTTAAAGCCTACAAATGAAGTAATTTTTATGAACTCTTTTTTATTCGTGACTAAGCACAACAAATGTAGCTCAGGCACTACTATAGTAGAAGCTTATATTTGAACCACAATTATTAGCAATCAACAAATTGAGCTTCTGTTCAAATTTTTCGAGATGGCATCAATGAAAAATGATAAGACAGATGATTATTCAAAATGCCGGCTGTTTAATATTGAACAGTTTTATCTACTGATGTCTCAACCTAAACGAGCGCGCGCGTTTCAATAGTTAATGTCAAACGATGCGACCGTGAAGGCACGTAAGCAGTAAAACGTAACTATATAATTTAACTCATAAGTATTAAAAATTATAACTAATTGAAAAAAGGAAAATTCTAATCACAATAAATTAGGCTGAAGACGAAAACTAATAGCTCATACCGTTAAAGATGTCAAATTTCATTCGACAGCGAGACAAAAATTTGGCACACATCCTTTGTATGCATACGTGGGGAAAAGAAAACGCATTTGAACTTAACAATGCGTTTATATAAAAACATACAAAAGGTATGACAGTACTTAACAATACATCATGTATTATATATACATTTAGATACTCACAGTAGCTACTAGTTTCGCATTTCTATGTGAGAATGTGTGATGATTACACAACAAGAAGTTTAATTATTAACGATCACTAGAATATAGAAAAAATGTTTCAGTGATACACAAGAAAAAGTACGTAAAAAAGCTAAGCTAGAGCTGCCATCTAGTTTACCGAATTGAAGAAAAATAATGGTGAGTAATTCGAACAAAGTAAGACACTAATACTGGAAGAATATAGCATTTTACAAAATATTTTTAAGAATATAGCATATTACAAAATACTTGTAGGAATATAACATTTTACAAAATACCAACGAATGAAGATTATTCTAATTTTCACTTATTTGGCGGATTTTTACGTGTCTTATCGGATTTTTTATTGATGGAAGGCGTGTAATATTTAACATTCTGGCCTTTGTACATCGTTGAATTCGTGGGCTGGAGTAACCTCTCAATGACTAAGTGGGCTGCAAATATATGCGCAAATTGCATAGCAAATATCGAAATGCTTAGACTTACTCGTTGGTCTCTACTTTATTCACTTCAATCGCGATGAAATAATTATTATAATCTGGATAGCCGCTTCCTGGTCACAGGACGAATTCTAGACTTAGTATTCGTCATAGTTTTGCTGGCGAAAAATTTCTCAACCTATGATACACAAAAATTACCGCAACATTACAAGAAAGAGCACCTATTAGAAAAAAGGCAATTACAAGCAGAACAGAAAGAAGAGACAATTAATACTCTAGATTAACATGCGGATATGAAATTTTAGTTTTTCAGCAAGAAGAATGAGGTGACGTAACTGAATCCGTTCACCGGCTATTTTGCGGACGATTGCGGTGATGAGATGCCTTCTTCAATAATAATAATAATAATAATAATGCAGCTATTTTAATATTATTACTGAAAAGGAGTATTATTAATAAAGCTAAGCTTTGGGCATCGAAATTAACGACCCAATTTGGCCACAATTTAGTTAATGAAAAATCCAAATAACGAATGACGCACGCACGCTACACAATTGATCTTAAACACATATAATGAAAGACTGTACATTTCAAACCGATTCATTATCGCATAATAACTTGAATCGCAATCAAAATTCGCGATCACAGCTAACCAAATTATTTTAAAACGAGCTTTTCACTCACACTGAAATTTTTGTTCATAAATTGACTTACATTGAATGTGAGGAATAAAATTTAGTCAGAAGATAACGTGAAAGATCTTGAGCATTGATACTGACTGTAGGTGAGAAAACACATAATATTTTTCACTGATTTTCGTGGTGAAATAAAAGTTAATCTTAGCTATAAATTGAAGAACCTGATACGCTAATTCCGATTGTAAAACGGGATATTTCTCAAAAATTGCTTAGGTGAATTGAGAAATAAATTGTATTCAGAAGTTAACATGAAATTCCCGTTTTCAGAGAACAAGCACACAATATCACAAATTCCTGCGACGTGTGGAGCGTCTCTTGGCCGTGGTTTCGTCGCACCGGGGCGCGGTGCTTGGCCCGCTGGAGAGCTCGCAAGATTTTCGTTTACGTCCAGCGATCTTCGAACTCGAATTCTGAAATAAAAAAGGTTAGTATATTCCTTTGAATCATTACAGAATCAGACAGGACACAAATCATGTCCATACATACAAAAAACACAGTTTAATGACATAAAATGTGTGAAAGGAAAAAGACAGAGGTATGAAACAACTATTCACGATCGTCATGAAAATTGCATGAATCAAAGAGAACTTTGAAGACTAAAATAAGGAAAGGAGAGTCTTTGCAGTGAAAAGTAGTTATTACTGAAAATTGGAATCTAGAAACAAAACGGACAACTTCGAAAACTTTGCCCACGCAATGGAACTTTGAACACACAACGAAAGCGAGCGAACTTCAAAAATGCAATGCAAGATCAACAACACAATGAGCTAATGAAGTTATACTTTAATGGAAACAGCACAAAAAAAAAGACTTAAAAAACTTAGTATTCTGCTTAAAATGCTTTGGGTTGGTTCTACAACATGCATTTTTACACCCAAAATCACAAATGCAATACAATCGTCAAGGGTAGATACTGAAAGTGAAACCTGTGAAAAACCAAAGACTTTCCATGTTGGCCAGTGAACATAGAACACCGAATGTTTATCACAAGTTCAGGCGACAAAGAAGTCAATCTTTTTAGAAGCAAGTGCTTCTTTTTCGGTCAATTATATACGACCTTCAAATGTTATATCATTATTTCTATTGTAATAGCTTATGAATGATGAAAATGTTGATATCGGACATAATATAGGCCATTCCCATGACAACATTTCAAAGTTTGGGAATCTTCGGTAAACAAAATTTTTACTAATACTATCAACTTTCTAATGCCTGTTACCATGTCCTAATATCAAAGTTGATGAAATTGCTCCTTTATATTTCGAGTTATGCATCACCATAGAGGTTAAACGTAGTAAGAGAGCTAGAGACTTCTCAGTTGATCAAATCGCACGACAAAGAAATGGAAGATCTTGAAGGATAAGCGCTGGAACTGAGATACATAGACAGCACGGCAGAGAATAATCTAAATAAATGAATGATCAATTGAAAAATTAAAAAGCCAATAGCTACACATTCGTACCAGGTATCGCATGCACAGAGCGCTTTTCACTTGAATGAGAGGAGGTGACGGAAACAGACTACAAGGGAGCAGACGCCACTAACATTGCAGGCCACAAGCCATAATATCGTTACTGCGAGGTGGGTTGCCCGATCAGGAGACACGCACCAGCATGACCCTGACAAGAAACCTAAACATGTGCCATGCGAATCCTCACGAGGTAAACCAGAGAGGATCCGAGGACCAGAATCCAGAATCCTCACGAGGTAAACCAGGTAAAGAGTCCATGACCGCTAACAAAACCAGACTCCAGAACTCACAGAATTATCTCGCTTGGACTTTAAAGGCACGGAATTGTCCAGCTTGGACTCGACAGGAGCGACGTCTCTGCGACAGAGCGCCACTTTATGCGACAGCGCCGCTAAGCGGGCGGGAGGCCGGCGTCCCGACCGCCTCACCACGGGACTCTCGCATCCCGTTGCTCCTGATACATACACAGAGATGAGGTAAAATATTTATATGCCAATTGGTTTTGTTATGATTTGCCAATGATTGTTATTAAACACTTTAGGAATACTTTTTCTTTTAAGTGTGGAAATTAGCATTAAATGAATCGAGCGTATCGAATTGGATAGAAATTTCTGCAAGAGTTATCAAGGAAATGTAGAATATTTAAACCAATCATCTCGTACAACTTAACGCCATAGGTTAAACTAATTTTGATGTTATGACTTACTGTTCCATTTCTGAAACACGGGATTTGAAAAGAAATTTTCCTACCGCTAGGTTTGTTTCAGGTATTTCTTAAGCACATCTCTGAATATATAACAGACACGTTTTAACCGAAAAGAAAACATCAAAACCTTTTTTGCGAGGCCAAAATTTTACAAATAACGCTTCCATAGAGCAAGGACAGATTAATTAAACGTGACGAGTCATGGAAAATAAACAATTGAACAGCGAATATCAAAGTGCGCAAGTATTCAGCACGAAGAGCGGTCGCATGTATAATAACAGAGCGCAATATTTATCAGTAATAAAACTTCTTTAATCTTAGGTTCATGAAAGTTATGTTCATGGAAGTTCAGTTGTCTAATGCTAACGATTGAGCTTGGAAATCCCCCTAGTTCGATTCTCAGCATTAAGTACAGGAGAACAATTTTCTGTATGTCTTATACAAGAAAATTCCCACCACGTGCGCTGGGCATCTAAGTAAGTTAGGAATCGAGAACTCCATCCGATAGAGTATAATCCTTAACAAATTTATGCTGAAAATAATCTGTAAATGGCGTCCAATAGATTTAATTATTGGTATAGCAAAGCGCAGCAAGAAATATTAGTAGTTTCTGGCTTGAAAATGGTAACATAAAAACATTCAACTCGCACACATAGACTCATGCGTGATATGAAGACCCACATCTAAGATCGAGACACCAACTATCCATTCTCAATTCAACTCTCAAATTGGTAATGAAAACGCATACATTCTCACTTGGTAAAGCTGATTAACTCAGATTGAACCCACGTATGGTAATTATTTTTAGCATTGTTGAATCCACGATGCGGTAAGCTGAGACATTAGCAACATAACTGTTTTAACTAACTGTATTAACAATGTTCCTACATAATATTTTATCTAAAGTGTTTAGTTTCCATAGCGGTCCAATTATAGATTTAGTGGTAGGGTCAACAAGTTAATAAATTTCACCGCTTAATTTTTAATAAAACTTGCTTAAATGAAGAGCTCTACACTAGATATACACTTCCTACATATCCTACATATATACCTACATATCCACATGTCCTACATTTCCACATTTCCTACACAATATTTCGCTAGGCAAGGCTCCCGTTATCTTCACCTAGCGACGGAAGATCTGCATCAGCAGCACCCAAGACGTCATCGCTGTCCTCCTCATGCAGGCGTCCGTAGGCTTCAAAGGACCTGTCGAACGCCCCTGCGTGATTGTCGTCCAAGGGAAGCTGTTCAACAATCAGGTTCGCAGCCTCCGATTGTCTTAAAGAAGGAGACACTTTGGATTGCTTTAGCCTGAGTTGCGAGGCTGGAATTTCATCGCTACTATCGTCTTCAGTATCAGGATGTTCAGTAGACTGCACTGCAGGTGGGCGAGAATCCTCCAAAATGTCCACATCCACTGTAGGATATGGGCGAGGATTAAGCTTCACATTACACGGCACGAATATTTTTTAATCCGGAGTCCTCCGAGTGGTAGGATCAATATCAATCAATAATTAAATTATAATAGGTACACGGAGGGGACCATGAGCCCTTACGCGCCCTTGCGTTGGGGACCATGAGCCCTTACTTAGAAAAGCAATATTTTGGATCATTAGAACAGCATGAAAATAAAGGTGATATATGTATGGACCATCATATATCAGCACAATATTAATATTGAAAAAGGAATCGACACAAATTAGCATTCAAACGGTAAATGAGAATTCATTTAATTATAAAATGAAGAATTATGATTCGATTTTTATCAGTGAGAAAGGGAAACTGGGGAGTAAGCGGACAGCCATACAAAACTGTGAAAATGCCTTAGCAAATAACGTTTGAAATAGGTAGCTGAAATGAAAAAGAGACATGATATTCGTCATAGGATTTAGAAGCAAAGAAAATAACATTTACATCATGCACGAGCTCATTGCGTGAAATACTGTGAAATTATTTGTCACTTTCTAACCTTTTAAATTGCTAGTAAATTTAAGATTTAACCAAACTAATGATAATAATGTTCGTTTAATGAGCTAAATATACGTCAAGACAGAACAAAACTCACTGAGCTGTTCAGCACGGTCATCAAGGAGGCTGTAGCTGCATTCGCTGGAGGCATCAGAGTCTTCGGCGTCTGCCGTGAAGAGATCAGGACTGCAACGAGCGCCTGGAGGCAAAGAGCTGCCAGCACTGGGACCGTTGTATGGTGCTTGAATGATCATGTTTGGTGCGGAATTTAAAGATTTTGTGTTGAGCGTCGATGCAGATAAGCCATTTATAAGTTCCAAACGAACGTAAGGCTCCAATTCAGCAGAGGCATTGTCGGCAGATACTCTGAGTAGCTTAGAGGAAGCTTCCATTGAGTCATACGACGGTATATCATCGTCAGTGTCAGCTTCCTTTGCTCCAGCACTGCTAGTAGAAGGAAAATTTGAGAGGAAACTTTTGCATTTTCTTACCGTCTCCAAAGGCGACTTAGATTTGCGGTCACTTGGCTCAAAATTATCAACAAGATTCTCGTTCGCAGACAAAAGCCTAGTAGAATCCTGCTCTCCATAAACGGTGTCGCTGCCTCTTGACACGTTGGACTTTCCTTCATTACTAATATCTTCAAATAAAAAATCGTCAAAGTCATCATCATCCTCATCAAAAGAATAATGTTTTGGCATTACTCTCACTGAATCATTGGTGGATGGAGGAACGTTAGTAGCTCTATTAAAGTTCGAGTCGGAAGTGTTCTCCAACGATTTACTGTTACCAGTTCTGAAGATCGGAGACGTAGGTGCGGGAATATCGCAAATTTTGCTTGCTGGAGTCTGATTAATAATATCATAACTTAAATTTGATCTTCGCTGAACAGTCAATTTGGATCTTCTAGGAGTGAAAATTTCATCTCGAGCCTCACATTGACTTGAACGAGGAATTTCACGAGTTCCTGCAACGTTACAATGGCTAGGAGGCGAGCTCCATTTTTGTGCCGAGAGTTTAGAGGAAAGCGTTGGCTGATTTACACTCGAGTTACCAGGTACCTCGCAATAGAGGTAATCACTTGGATCACTTATATCATCAGGCTCAATTTTGAAGAGACGAGCCTCATCATCGGCACTTCCACTGACCATTGTTGAGGGAGGAAATTCAGTTTTGATGTTTAATTCAGTTTTGATGCTGACTTCAGGTTTAATGGTGACTTCAGGTTTAATGCTGACTTCAGGTTCGATGTTGACTTCAGGTTTGATGTTGACATCAGTATTAGCGCGGCCTTCAAGTTTTCTTCTCTTCTTCAGGTCAGCCAAAAGGGAAGCAAATTGATTGCTGAATTTTTTTTCTGAAAAATGAAGAGCATCATCGGGAGAAGATAGTTTCAGAAAACACATAATACCAGAGTGAATTATTCATGTATACTTTTAGAAATTAAAGCATATCACAAATCAAAAATTAACCTTACTTAATTTTAATTTGATTTAAATAAATTTAAATTATCAGGCATAGCTTACGAATTTTTTTCTGCCCTTCCTCAATGACGGTAGGAGACGACTTACAATCGTAAGAAAAAATCTGTAAAGAGGAAAAGTGTTTGAATCATAAAGAAAAAAATACTGCGCGTGTGATAACTTGAACTGAAGAGTGAATCAAGCAGTGAACTAAACAGCGAATCAAGCAGTGAACTAAAGAGTGAATCAAGCAGTGAACTAAAGAGTGAATCAAGCAGTGAACTGATGAGTGAATCAAGCAGTGAACTGAAGAGTGAATCAAGCAGTGAACTGCATGAAGAGTGAATCAAACAGTGATCTGAAGGGAAATTTTATCATCGTGTGAAGAGTGATTCAAATAGTGAAATGAGGAGTGATTCTAATAGTGAACTTGAAAGTGGTTCAGACAATGAAGGTTATTGACAGAAGTTTTCATCAAACAGCTTATTGAATTCGAGTCCAACAGTTAAGTGTAATTTATTAAACTGAAATTTTCACTTAACAGCTTAGTTAATTTTTATATGAACAATGAAGTGAACTATGAAACATTGAATTTTTGCTTATACAAGCAAAACATTGAACTGAAATTTCAGCCAAACAGCTCATTGTTTGTGAGAAATATAGTCACAGTAAGACACAAACTCACTTTGAATTCAGTCAAAGAACACAGTCAAGCAAGACACACACCGACTGTATAGTCTGAGTAGACTGTGTAGGTTGTATCTGCTCCTCACGCGCTGCTTGTCTGTGTAGCTGCTGTATAGGCCGGGGCTCCAGCTTGTCGCACTCGCTATTGTACAGCACCACGTACCTGCACGTGAGATATATTGTACAGCACCACGTACCTGCACGTGAGATATATTGTACANTGCTGGTGCACATGGTGACACAGCTAATGTATGGTGATGTGGTGTTGCTGGTGCACATGGTGACACAGCTAATGTATGTTGCATTGCGTGTGCACTACCTCACGGCGGCACAAATATCGTAAGGTTGGCGATATTGTACAGCCTCGTTGTCACTGTTCTTGTATTACGCCTTCACACACATAGTTATTTATATTTTTCATATGTTATCCATGGATATTCCTCAGCATCTATGACCATTAGAGCGTCGGGAGAAAACTATCGAATGGTATCAATGACGAATTTCAATTCTACACGACTTTTCTTTTACTCATACCTGCTTCCAAAGAGTCAGATTCTATTTCATGACACTAATTATCAGTGAAACTAAAACTTGCCATATTTGACTCAAGCAATGCCAAAACATAAATTCATCTAATTTTATTACCTAACAAGTATTTTTGTCATTAATATTACAGTTAGAATCAGTAGAGTGAATGAAAACACTAATTGAACAAACTGGCACCATAATTATCAGCATAAAGCTAATAGTTTAACTTTTCTCACACTGGACAGTTACAACTACACCCACACAAGGCATGAATGATGCTACGTTGCAAAATTATGCTGTCTATAGAAAGTTACTTAATTCTTTAGACAGCATTATAATTTATAAATACTAACTTCTTGTGACGCTTAATGAGTGTATCTCTTGAGCCGTTGGTTGAGAGGCCAACTTTCTTCAGCTCATTGCGTAGCTTGGTGTCGCTGAGCAGATGATAAACCAACTTTGGAAGAGGAGGTCGCCTGTTAAGATAGAAATGCCGTTAATGATAACTTAAATTAATAGAACTTCAGATCAAAACTGGAGTTTACAGTAAAAAAAAACATAAAAATGCATGCATGCAATTCGTTTTATTAACATAATCTCATATCAAGAGAAATACAATATGAATGCAGGCATGATGTAATGTACTTCAACTGTGCAGGATTGGGGTGAACAGCAGCACCAGTAGCAGCATCTCTCTGGAGGCAAGCATCGAGATGTCGATTGATGTTGTTTTGGGCTACAGCAACACCACACACCGGGCATGACACTGTCTCTTCCTTGCTGCTCAGGACGTTGGTGGTGTGATTGCTGCTGATTGTATGATTGATTGATGTTGATGTGCTTGCATTAGTAGTTATGCTGCTTGGATTAATGATGGATTTGGAACTGCATGAATTACTGGTGGAGGTTGATGGAGGAGGATGATGGTTACTGCTGAGGGCATTCATAGAAGTGCTTCCTATTTTGCTTGGACTATCTTCTATATGGCTGTCATGGGAACAAAAATAATTTATTAAATTTGTTTAAATAATATAACTGAACATTTTCACTCAAGTAATCTAAAAAATTACTATGTTAAAAAAACAAAACATACACTATCTTCTCACTTTGACCTTTAATTCTAGCCTAACAACAATTAATGTTAAATTAAACCCAGCAAAAATGTTACATAGATGATTTTCTGGTTATTGTCCAAATGTTTTTCTAATTTCACCATATTTTCCATCCATACCCAAAGATGACTCATATTGACAAGGTCTACATAAAGAGTCTTGCGTAAACTAATATAGTCTGTTAATAGCAAAGTATAAAAAAAACCTACCTAATAACAGGAGAGGAAGAAATGGAGGCCAAGCTACCACAGGACTGCTGAGGAGAGCTGGTCAATGACGTTGTTATGGTGCTGGCCACTTTTGTGGGAGTGCACCTACAAAATAAACATTACTTTAGAATATAGGTAAAGGTTTTAATCATGGTTGGGTTCAATCATCTCAACTTTAATAAGAATCCATCTCAACATGTATGTGAAATGCCACACAAAATTTGTACAGCTAATAAATACACATTAGGGTATCAGAAAATCAACATGCCAACTCAAAAAGAGCTTTTCCCACAAGAAAATAACTAACTTCTTGGGAGAGAAATAATCCAACAGACTCGTTCTCTTAGAAGGGCTCCCAACCACACCATCATTGATGGAGTTGAGAGCTGCAGTCAGCCTGCCCCCGCTCTTCTGAGGAGTTTTGTTGGAACTTGTGGAGGATCCTGCACCATAATTTGCTTTGCTTGGTGTTTCGAGGCATATAATATCTTCAGAGAATTGTGAGCTAGGATGAACACTAAGCTTCCTTTTAGAAGTTGAGGAACACATGCTAGGATCAAGATTTTTTCCATGTTTAGAATTATTTTGTGAAGTGAAACTGTTTTTAATTTCACCAGATTGTAGGACAGAGAAATTACTAGGAAGGTTGCACTGGAGACCAGTTTGAGCAGAATCATCTTGTTTAGAGTCGTATTGATTATAATGTTTGTTGCCAGATTCTGGAATCCTTGGGGTCAGTTTAGATTCAGTGTTTGCAGAGGATGATAAGCTACTGGAACTTAGCTGTTCATGATAGTAACGCTGTAGAGCATCTCTGAAATTCGTGATATATAATAGATCACCATCATCAATGAAAAATTCTTGTCATAAAATATCTTTGTAAAAGTAATACAGTTGAAATCCAACTGCATTGAATAATTTTTCATTGTTAATCCAAAAGTGAAACAAACTTAAATCATAATATGGAATCATTCAAGTTGTAATCATTGAAATCTGTAATTCAGAATTTTCATTCAGGTGATCAGAATAATTTGTAAACTAACACAAGTAAATGTTACCTGATAGCAGGGAAAAGCTCTATTATGCAGTCCAGAGTTCTATTTGGACGTAACTCAGAGTCACAAATGGACGACTGGCAGGTAGGGCAGGACTGCCTATGCAGTAGAGACTGCCGAATGCAAAGGGAGCAATCTGGAATACACAAGGGTTTTTAGAAGAAACATTCAAATCATTTACAAATATAAATATTCATATTTTTCAATTAATGAATGGTGAAAATTTGAAACAAACACTTTCATGGACAATCATGAAATATAAGTCTTTTCTTCTGTCAACTGGTTTTGATAATTTCTTTTTAAATTACCATTTATGAAGTCAAAGTGTTAGTTTAGCTTTAAAATAACTTCCTACACAAGACAATGAACAGTTAAAAAGTTATCTGAATTTTATTGAAAAAATTGCATGATCATAAAGGCAACAATATAAGCAAGCAAGCAACTCATTTAATAAACTACAGATTCATATTTCTGTTATTATTATATAAATGCTTAAAGTAAGGCACATTTGAAAAAATTTAAGCCTTAAAACTTACAGTTGTGTGAACATGTTGTCATCACAGAAGTCTGCAGAAACTCATAGCAGATGCCACAACGGAGCAAATCGTCAACCTGCTGCAATTAAAAAAAAAGATTTGAACAAATAAATAACAACTAGTTCAATTCTCCTTGATCATGACATTAGTTATATTTGCTGTCTAGTTCTTTATTTAAGAAAACATTCCATCATAACAATAAAAAAATAACTTTATTTTGAAATGTTTTAGCATAGAATCAAACCATTTTCTATTGGGTTCTGACTAAGTTTAGCCTATCAAGAGGAAGTAAATCTTAAAAAAAAAAACAGAGAATTTCATATAGCACTTTCAATGCAACATAAAGATCATTTTTCTGAGCAGACCCATACTAGTTCTATACAATCAATATAGGTATACCACTTTTGCTTTTAAGATATTTCCCCGTTTTTGCTAGAATTATTTCTATTATTTTACAAGTATGAAGCAGTTATTGTGATGTCTGGTTCAAACAAACTTTGAAGACCCATTTCTCAGACATAAGTTTATTAGCAAGGGAAAAATAAAATATGGTAATACTTTAAATTTGGTGCATCTAAAAAAAGGGTGTTTTTTTAATTATATGTTTTTTGGGGTGTAGGTTAAGAATCTGAAATTCATTTTTGGCGGTTGGCATCGGAAATTTTTAATGGAACCTCTTCCTAACTGGACCTAACCTGCAAGGTTTTTGTTGATTGGCTAGGTTTTTCTGGCCACCAGACGGACTCCAAACATAGAAAAAACCTATTGGCTAGGTTTTTCCGGCCGCCGCACGGACTCCAAACATAGAAAAAACCTAGCCAATCAACAAAAACCTCGCAGGTTAGGTCCAGTTAGGAACAGGCTCCATTAAAAATTTCCGACGCTGACCGCCAAAAACGGATTTCAGATTCTTAATCTACATCCCAAAAACATATAATTAAAAAAACACCCTTTTTTGGATGCAAGGTCCCCAAGATTTCAAATGCAGGAAACATTTGTCACTTTCACTTTGGAGCAGCAAAATTTCATTCATAAGTAGGACAATTCCAATCCATCTGCCATCATACGTATTAATTAGGTCTTGATATAACAATGTACCTATAGGTTTTTTACATTTAGTTTATACCCCATGGTCAGGAAGATGTGCCAGGTGCGCGGGAATTTATTTCGTCATTTTAACGACCTGCGCGGTGCGCCGTACTATGCTGGTAAAAAAATGCGCCATGCGCCGTACTTTAGAAAGCTAAAATAGTTCTACTATTTTAGTCAAAAATATACGCGAGTATATTGACTACGTGAGTCGAACTGACAATAATAAAATGCAAGACATGTCCGGGTTACTTCTGACTCTTCCGCTTGTCCGCCTTGTCGGATACGGAACGTACGGTAATTGTAAACTGCGGCTAATATACATACAAAATGTAAACAGACAGTGTTCAGTGTTGCCATATGATTTTGGAGAAAATTTCTTCTAAAATAAAGTTCTAGATTTCTCATTCACCAAATTTCCGTATCAAGAAAAATCATATATTATTGAAAGATAATTAAAGGCATACCGGTACTGTACTGAGTAATGTGAGTATTACGTCTGAATCTGATCCTCCACAAACTGCTTGTGCGCGGCAGCGCGACATAGAATTGATGGCCGGGATTGCGCGAACACGTGCGCGAAGAGAATCAATTTTCATTACATTGCGCCAACTGTGCACAGCAATAGCTTAAAAAAGTGAAAATGTGCGGGAAAATTCACCAAAAACATACATCATCCTGAGTGTGGTTTATACCTAATTAGAAACTGATCAAATAGGCTACGTTCAGGCTGGATCAATACTGAATATATGAACCCCCAGCCTTTATTTTAAAAATTTACAAGCAAGATCAGGATAACTCAATTTCAAAGTCATTTAAGGTTTACACATTTCTGAAAAATGTTCATTAGTTCACCAACACCAAGTTTCAACAGATAACAAATGACACACAACTACGACTCCATTTATAAAAGGGCGAATTTAGTATGCTGGCTGTTGCATTCAGCATTGTCATTGCTAATAAAAAATTCAATTGCAACAAGCCATTCGACTAGGCTAATCACTAATCAGCGGCCAGCGCTCACGGCTCACGCTCACCTTAACTGCAGGAGGCAAGTTTTGAAACACACGCGCAGACATAATTGTTATGAACGGAGTAAATTCAGCCTGTAAAGCTTAATCGCATGCAAAGGTGCACAACATTTCTGAGTTATGTAAAGTAAAAGCTAGAACTCGATGCAGATTACGAATCATAAACGTTGCTCCCAAGTCCCATTGGAGCGAGAACGAATAACGCGCTATTATGGAGGCATTTACAATTTCGCCGGGCCGCCCTCGACTTCAAATTTATCCGGAATATCCAAATTCTATAATTTTGTCATGATTAACTCGCTCACCATGAGTATAATTTGGTTACGATAAACCCGGTAAAATTAGAAAATATTAACAATTTTTGCGAGAATTGCGCGTTAAAATTTTAAGGTCAAGGTATCCCAAATGTCTAATCTTGGAAACTAAATCCGAATATTGACAAATTAACATATAGAATCAGAGGTTGGAAAGCATTAATTTCATTCATTTGGCATTATTAATAAAACCAGCTTTGCATATTTTTTGTAGATTTGAGAAAAAATCAATCTACCCGTCCTACCATAAATTAAATTATCGTCATATTGCCATTAACAAAATGACCTACCTAGTAGCTAAATAAATAAATACTATGGTTGTACACTATAACACAGTTAAGGCCGTAAATTTGTTCGAGATGTGCTTAAAAAATACGTTTATTGGTTTTAACTAAAAAATAATTCATGTGAAAATCTGTAATAATTCCTGCGGCAGCGTATCGATAATTAATATTCACATTCCAAAATTCATACAGATCCGTTAAGTATTTAAGGGGACCGGCTACCTAAAATTTTCAATTTTGGCGTTTTTCGGTTTTTGTGCTCATCTGAAAGCTGGAATTCTGCTCTTTCCAATGGTACCACTGCCATCGATGTACGCCAATATTTACGTTCATGACGTCTCTTTAAAGGGAAACGGGTGGTGGATTTCTTTAAGTAATTAGATATAAAGTAATTAGCTGCTGAAATCTTTGAATATAGTCTCTACTTGAGTTGTGCTGCAGTTACATGTTTAGTTTCATCTTAAAGCTGACATTCTGAGCTTTCCAACGATACTACTGCGATCCATGTACGGCAATATTGACGCAGATGGCCGGGCTTTAATGGGGGGCGGGGGTGGAGTTCCTTCACTAAATAGACCTAAGAAAATTAAGGCGACAAGACTACATATCTTGGTGTATCTGGCTGCTGGCATCTGAGCTCAGTTACCCTCCTAACATTGTACGTAGAGGTGCGCTACAAGTTGCTGCTAGCATCCTTGAGTGGATTAAGCTACAGAAGCCTGTAGTTTGGTATCCATTTTGTAGGACGATATTTGTGGGAGGAGATAGATTTTCTATAGTACCCGTTATTTGTCCGTTTTATATGAATATCACGTTTTCTATCAATTTTTTTTTTTGAAAAATTCATAGAAGTAAAATGTTATTATTTTTACATTTTACGTATGTATGTGAAGTTTCATGATGATCGGATAATATATGTAGGAGTTATAGGCTACCTCGGTTTTAGGTAGTCGGTCCCCTTAAGGAATTATGAGAGTCCCAGTTGCGCGAGTCCGCAGGCGGTTCCGTAGAATTGTCGATCGAGTGTTTAACTCCACGAATGCAATACTGTAGAATAGTTAAAAAAAATGGAATATTCTCGTCCATGGAAAAAACTCTGCAGTCTATACTACCAGCTTAGGTGACCATCAATTTCAATAAATAATAATAAATTATAAAAAAAAACACTAGCCAATCCGAAAGTAGCAGTTTTATTTGATTATTAGTCCAGTACAGCGTTGCCGGATGGTATATTTCTAGACCAGATTTTACAAATCTGGTATTTTCAGAAGGAGAAGGTGTCTGGTATGAATATTTTAGATCTGGTATATTTTCAGAAGGTGTCTGGTATGAATATTTTAGATCTGGTATATTTGCCTAAATCTGGTATTGTCTGACTTACTGGAAATTTACTGCGTTAAGTTCCATCTCTGAAGTTTGAACTTCCTCCTCCAGCGTAGGCTTGGTTTATATAGATTACTTTCAGACCGACGCAACTAGAGGTTTCCAACCATTTTTGGAACCGCAAGTTTACCGCTTGATGAAATAAACACAATTTAATTGTTAACATTTAACAAAAGTGCTGAGTGCAATATGAGCACGAGAGTGATGATCCTTGATTGATTACTGATCAGTGATGACATGGCCTAGGACGAGTGAGGTTGTCGTCGTTGTTGTTCATTGTGACCGTCACGCTCGCCGGGGGGAGGCTCTGGTGGTGGGCGGGGAGCCGGCACCGGAAGAGGGGGGAGTTGGGCGAAGGCAGGGAG